GAAAATGCAACGCTCATGTGGTGCTAATCACAACGGGAGACAATTAGAAAACCCAGAAAACCTATTTCTGAACCATTAGTTATAAACCCTGTCGGCAGATGTGACTTAGCCACATCTACACTACGCTGGAGGAATTTGAAAACGCAGCCCTATTTCTGCGGTTAGGCCTACCGTCCACATTAATCCGTCACGAAAACGCCATTTTCGAAAACCTTGGCGTTTCGATGATCATGTGATTTCCCTGACCGAGTTCTCCTCAAACATTAATTCAAAATGACCAGTCTGTGAGACGCACCGTTACCATATCTAAGTGTGCGACCAAGTTAAACAAATTGTGCCTACGGTGTGTCTATTATTGCGTTTTTAAATTCCTCCGGCATAGTGTGGAAGGAGAAAATTGGATGCCTCTTCGAAACCTCCGTATTTAAATTCCTCCGGCTTAGCGTGGCCGCGGCCCCAGACACATAGATAATGCCACATGTTGGATACAGAAACTTTTCCTTGAATAAAGTATTTTTATGTTAACAAAAGTTTGTTTTGGACAGGAGCCCAGCACCCGGAGCCTCCATACGTACTATAACGTAGGGTCAACCCTTTCCCGTATCATTCTAATTTCAGAACTGTAATTAGCGCAAGAGTCTCTTGGTTTCTCACGAAATATCTGGTGTCTGCAGATAAAAAATGCACAATTGAGAGCAAAAGGGTATTTCAGCTTTTGTAGTGGCAAATAATGATCTTAGTTCAGGTATCATTGGGTATTGAAAAGGAGTCGCAAAAGTGAAAAGAAGTCCCACAAGTGCTGTTTCTAAAAATAGAAAGATACGGGACAGGATTGACTCACAGGTTTGGTATAAGAGATGGAGGCTCCGGGTAATGGGCTCTTGTTTTGGAACAGAGCATCTGTGAGTCGGAGAGCTCGCCATGTGGGAAAAAAGAAGTCTGCATCCCTGACTATCAAGATGAGAGCGTGCGATGCAATTGCATTGAAGGCCACACGGGAAAACCGTGCAGTAAGTGATCCCTCCCATTTTTCCTGGGAGGTTGGGTACAGCTACCGGTAGGTCTAAATATACAGTATAAAGGTCGGTGCTTGAATGGAATACCCAAAATTTTGATTGTAATTTTAAGACATTCTCGAACTAAAATGGAAACGAGGTCCTTACTGATATTATGGCCTCTGGGCTATGCCGTTGTGTCTAATTGAATTATTCACATCAATAATGTAAATGGAGGATAATACATGGGCGAGTGTTCAACTTGATATCTCACGGGTGAGCGCAGCGACCTCGTGAGATATCAAGTTGAGCACGAGAAGACATATTCCATATCGATCTACAAGCAATCATGTATTATTTTGTTTATTATATAAACGTACTGATAACGACGTCTTCAACGATTCCCGAAGATTTCCGAAAACTTTGCGAAGATTTTCGAAGATTTTCGAAGATTCTCCAAAAATTGTGAAGATTTCGGAAGATACCCAAGATTGCCGAAAACTTTCGAGAAAGATGCGAAGACGTTTCGATCATACACCAACAAATTTAAGTACAGTTTAAGGGTCAAACATGTCAATCATCTCATATCCAACAAGTGCGAGTGGAATAAATGTGTTATTAAAAACGCCCCCCAAATATAAACCAAACTGAAATAAAACTAAAAACGCCTTAAAAAAACATCACACGTACGCACGCATGCGTACCATATTTGTAGAGCGTGGCTCATAACCCATGATGCATGGCTAAGCCAATGAAAACTCTCGAATTGCATTATCCAATGATCCAGATTTTATAAATAATAATAGAGTGGTGTTCACCTGAGCAGCAAAAAGTGATAGGCTATGCATTACTTTGCTGGATTGGCCTAAAAAAACACGCGACACTTTTTCGTCCAATCAAAAATAAAACAAAAACCAATCCCAATCCTAGCTCATTAGCACACATTTTCGCGCGCTTTGCGTCCGCTACTGGCATTTTGTTCAAGTTTTGATTGGTTTTCTGGAATTTCTGTTTCCTTTGCGATTGATTAGATTGATTACCTTGCTTTTTTGTATTATAAATAAGTAAATTAGTTGATTACTAGGTGAAACGCACAATGTTCAATTGCTTACCTTTAATTTTTGTTTAATTAATTCAATCAACAGAAGCCAAAAGCTGCGCCCAACTCCTTCAAGATGGTTTGACATCCAGTGGCGTGTACACCATCAATCCAGATGGCGGCAAACCAATGCAAGTGTTGTGTGACATGGTCACGGACGGTGGCGGCTGGACAGTCTTTCAGAGGCGCTTGGACGGCTCTGTTGACTTCTTTCTTGGATGGGAATCCTAAAAAAACGGTTTTGGAAATCTGAAGGGAGAGTTCTGGCTCGGAAACGACAATCTTCACCGTTTGACGGCCGCTGGTAGCGTCAAGCTAAGAGTTGACTTGGAGGATTTTGAAGACGACATCAGATACGCTGAGTACACGACTTTTAAGGTTGCAGACGAGGGAGATAAGTACAGGCTTTTGATTGGAGGATACAATGGTACAGCTGGTGACTCGATGGCAATTCATAAGTAGGAGAACTGCTCAAGTTTATATAGTGCTGAGATTATTACAGAGTCGAACCTTTGTTAACTGGCCACCTATTAGCCGGCCCGAAAGTATTGTCAGTACAATACTGCAAATAAAACCCCTGTTAACCGACTGCCTCCTTGAAGTGACTGCGAACACTTTTTGGTCGCCCTGATGAGGATTTCCCACTGTGCCTAAACGGCCACCCAAAATTTAATACACGTTGTTTAGCTTTGTTTTGGAAAAGGAGATGATATATCATCATTGTCTTGACGTGGTTTCATGTTCACTAAGAAGTTAACCCGATGGTAAAAAAATATGTAAAGTACACTAAACACCATTCAGCGACCAACTCCGATTTAGCGGCAAGCCCCCATTTCCCCGAGGGTGGCTTTAGGAAATTTAAAGTCCTGAATAAAAGGGCAAATGAGCTAATTTTATCTTCAAGTTTAAGTAGTTCAAATTACTCTCGGGGTTTTGTTCTTCGAGAATTCTGATGTTTTAGGTTTAGTCGAAGAACCTACTGGTTCCAGTCCTGTGATGTCAAAACATTTTTTTTTCAGTGGGGCGTCCACTATTTTCTATTGTACATGCATTGGAACTTTCGAAATTCGAGTCAAGAAATTGTTCTTTTTTAAACAGAGATCTTTAAACCATTTTGACTAAAATACTTCTAACTCTCTTTCAGTGGTTCAGCGTTTTCCACGAAAGACAACGACAGCACGAATGTCTGTGCGCAGTTGTACAAAGGAGCCTGGTGGTACAGTGGTTGTCATGAATCCAATCTCAACGGATTATACCTTAGAGGAGCTCATTTATCTGATGCTGATGGGGTTAACTGGGCGGCTTTCAGAGGGTGGTTTTATTCACTAAAACGCACTGAAATGAAAGTGAAGTAGTAATTTTTAAATGAAGGTTTTGCCCAGATTTTTATAAGTGCAGTTGGTAATGGTAATTTTAACGTCTCCGCTTTTAATCTTTTAGGTCGGGTTGTTCAAAAGACGGTTGACGCTAACTCAAGATTAAAGCATAGTTCATAGAGGGGGATGGTTATGAAACTCAACAAAGTTGTTTGTTGAATATTTTTGTTCTCCTTTTTGACCTTGACCGTACACAAAGCACAACAGTTGTTTACTACTGACTACTGGTTACGTAATTCATACATAGTGCATGAGCGCAAAACAAAAAGATTGTGCACGGTCGCGGACCTTCCAGCGTAAATCTTGAGGTATGCTCCTTTGATGTTTGCAGGGCTTCATAACCATTTCCTCTAATGCTCATTAAAGGTTAATCGAAATAGTATAAAAGTGTTTTTGCACCGCTTATGTCATTTGTGTAGTTTGAGATTCTTCACAGAAAATATATTCAGTATACCTTTTTAGCGACGAAAGAAATTTTACTTTCAGTATCCCAAAATGAGATTATTTGTAATTTTCTTTAATCCAGTTGCATTTTGAACAAAATAAAAACGGTTCACGTCCCTCATTGTCCCTTTTGCTCCAAGGTAGACCAACCAGCCAGCCATTTATTCGTATCGTGTCCCATGGCTAGTTCTTTCTGGTCCGATTTTATTAAATGGTATTAGACTTTTTCTAAAAAGACCCTCAGCCTTTCCAAGAATGAAATTATTTACGGCGTACTTAATAATTGGTCTTCTTGTTCAGCCCTAAACCACCTAATTCTCATTAGTAAGTACTTTCTTCCTTGTAAAGCATTAAATAGCGTCAAATTTCTTTTCGCAGACTTCATAACTGAATTGTACATGACAAAATATGAATTGAATGTTAGTACGTAGCTCTTTATATGTCAAACAAACCCAATACCTTTTTCCAGGAGTGGTTCAATTCTGTTTTCATTAATTCAGTCGCACTTTCCAGTTGTAAGGCTTTTAAACCTTAAAAATAGTGTATAATAGTTTATTCTAATTTTGTGCAGAGTGCTTTAAGTAAACGATACAATGTATTGTAAGTGATCTCTAGGTAAGTGAAATAACATATCGTAAGTATATAAATAATGTATTGTAACCTATAGGCAATGTCATGTATTGTTAGTGATGTATGTAAGTAAGTGATATCGTGTATTGTAAGTATTATAAATGTAACATACTGTAAGTAATGTGAATATAGTAATATGGCGTATTGTAAGTAGGTAATGTAATATAACGTATTGTAAATGGCGTATACACCTTATTCCAAAATGGCCGCAATTTTAGTAGTCTTTTGTTTACTTGCAAATTAGCCCTTGATGCCTAGTTTAAGGGAAAATATTCTATTGAATTTCGAGTTTAAGAACGAGGCAACAAGGGCTAATTTGCAAGTAAACAAAAGAATACTAAAATGGCGGCCATTTTGGAATAAGGTGTGTTGTGAATAGATTTACGTACAGTGTTGTTAGAAGCAAGCATTGCATTGTAAATAGTGTATTTTAGATGTAATATAACATATACAATGTAACTAAAAAAAGAACAAAATCAGTTCATTTTATTGGTGGTAGGTTGTCATTCATGAATGAGGGAATATGTCATTGCGCTAAGACCTTCAGTTGAAAATTAATAGTACTGAGATATCGTACACTTTGTCCAACTTATAATACCAGCTCATGCTCCTACAAGCAAAACCAATCTTGGAAATGAGAAATCCAATAAGACGATGTTTTGTCCACTTCAGAGCTGTTTTTGCCCCCAAAGCCTGTGATGCGCGTAAAATAATCGGTGAATTTTCTCCTTCTCTCAAGCCCTGAAGTTATACAACTGAAGTTATCGTAGTTTATTATGAACTTTCACATTACCTTAAATTCGAAGAGCGCAGTTTAAGGTAGTTACAAAGCTTTTGTCTTAGATTATTTTTACAGCTCAAAATGATAATTTTCAGAGTGTACATTCGTTGTAAAATTCACTGAGTAATTCGACAGCTTGACTAGTCAAACACGCTTCATTTTAATCAAGCTAGGGTCACGTTCCTCGCTTTCTGTCGTTCTTTTCAAGTTTACAGTTCTTGTTGGAGTCCTGGCCATTGGCCCTCTGTTGGCACAATGGGACACTGCAAGAGTCGCACCAAACACACCGATCATCAAGAAGGTAGCAACTGCTATTGATTCCACTATGAGCATAGTGCTGTGCTACTCCCAGCCGGCCGGAGGTCAGAAAACTGCTAGGAAAAAAGGAGATTTTCAAACGTCTGCCTTCCTAATAAATCATTATAGCATTGCATAAGGTCACAGTTAGAGAGACAATCAGCTTGATCAGGTAACTGCATTGCAATGAAGCTGATTACTAAGCAACCAGAAAGCAGATAATCAAGTGACACATTCCTATTGGTCGATAATGTATCACGTGACACATTGAAATCTCTTATTTTTCCCTGGAGCAACAAAACCGTACAATCACCGTACAACTCCCTACGCAGGTGTCGATACCTTGAGCTCGAGCTCTCACAAGGAAATTAATAGACTCTTAAACCACAACGACAACGGCAACGTCACCAAACAAAAGATTTATTGAGCAAGGACAACGCTCAGTAAAAAAGGAAATTATATTTACCTTCGAATTTTGCAATTGCCTAGATCTGTTCAGTGCTCCTATCGGTCTCAGAACTTGCTCAAACTAAATATATAACGCCAGCGTTCAATTCCACATAAAAATACGAAAAATTAGCCGCCGTCGCTCGCGTTCTTCAAAATACGCAGAACGTAGTCATTTCACGTTGTTGTGCAGAGGACGACAAAGAAATGTACGAAGATTTATAACACACGTGCACAGCTATTTTTCTCCTCATTAAACCTTTTGTTTGGTGACGTCCTCGTTGCCGTTGCAGGTTTGCTTAAGTTCTCTATTATCTTTGTATATTTCTTTGCCGTTCTCTGCAAAACAATAACGTGGAATTTTCTTTTGAAGTTGATCGCTGGCGTTACATATTTACTTTGAGCAAGTTTTTAGACTGATCGGCGGGGCTGAACGAATCTAGATAATTGCAAAATTCAAAGACAATTTGTAAATTTATAAAGATTTCGCGCGAGTTCAAAGGGCGTCCATCTGCATGGGTAGGAAGAGAGCGAGAGCCTCCGTCCTAAGTAACGCGATATAATCCTCGTGCCAACCGAAATAACTTTGGAAAAGCTCGCACTCTTTCTTGAGTAGCCAATAAATGAGCTTCGTTTTTGCCGAGTCTCCTTCGGGCAGCCCTTTTCGTGTCACAAACATTGCGTGATGACCTAAATGACAGCTGCGAAGGAGGTTGGTCATTTATCTATTATTAGCCCGCGTGATCCAATGGTCATCCGTCTTCCAGGTGGGCAATACAAGGGCGCCCGTTTTACCTCAAGGGGTATGGTGGTTGGGGGTGGGTACGGAAAAAAGTAGGCTACGCGCACAGCGCCTGAAAATCGACCAAGCGTGATGTGCAGCATGGTCAGTATGCGATTAAATAATCTAAATTTTCATGTGTCTATTTACACTGTCTTCGACTTTGTATTCAGCAGTATATTTTTACGTATTCAGCTGTCATATGGTTCCTCAATTCTGACGAGTCGAGGATGAAATTGTATTGCTACAAACTTAAAGGGGAACTACCACGGGGATTTTAATCCCGCATTTTTCCTCAAAACGGAATGAAATGTATACAAAATGTGCCTAGAATACCGAGCTGAGGGCAGCAGACTGTTTTTGTCGATGCCAAGGCATAAGGACAGATTAATCTAGATCTGCACGCTCAATTATTCAAGGCAGCCGCTTCATTTCTAATTGATGCCGTCTATTCTTCTGACGTGTAATTATGTAAGCGGACATTGATAAATTAGAACAGCGATATTTTTGCTCTAGATTATCGAATATACTACCTGGGTGCCCGAAATTTTACTTTTCTTTCTCGCCGGGAGCAGTGAACCCGCTGAAGCGTTAGATGCGGCGAGCGGAGACGTCGAAACGAGGGATCACTGCCCCCCAAAAACCCTCTGGGATCCAGGGCACGAATATGCCCGTATTGTTCAAGATTAAAGATGGCGCTTTTTGAACATTTTGCTGTGGATGTGCACATACGTGGCGCATACATGTAAGCATCTCAACTACTTACTCCGTTTTCCAGCCTACGCAGCAAGTGGTCTTGAATAATTTCTCGTTGAACGTAAGAGTGTCTCGTTCTCAGAAGAAACTTGTGTTGCAGTTATACGCTTGCTTTTTGTTATGATTATACAGGGCGTTTATTTTGTTTTGAAGCTTCAATCACTTGACTAATTTGAATACATTGGAAAAAATATATCAATACAATTTTTGGTGAACAAATCCGTTTCCTGGGTGACTAATGTACAAGAATTGTATTAATTAAAGACGTGCCAAAGACATGTTAAATGCGAACAAATAAAGAAATTCCTCATTCGTCTTTATGCCGTAAGCTTTTCTTGTTTTTTTCATTGTGGACAAAAATATACCCAAGTTAAACGTTACNCACTATTTTCTATTGTACATGCATTGGAACTTTCGAAATTCGAGTCAAGAAATTGTTCTTTTTTAAACAGAGATCTTTAAACCATTTTGACTAAAATACTTCTAACTCTCTTTCAGTGGTTCAGCGTTTTCCACGAAAGACAACGACAGCACGAATGTCTGTGCGCAGTTGTACAAAGGAGCCTGGTGGTACAGTGGTTGTCATGAATCCAATCTCAACGGATTATACCTTAGAGGAGCTCATTTATCTGATGCTGATGGGGTTAACTGGGCGGCTTTCAGAGGGTGGTTTTATTCACTAAAACGCACTGAAATGAAAGTGAAGTAGTAATTTTTAAATGAAGGTTTTGCCCAGATTTTTATAAGTGCAGTTGGTAATGGTAATTTTAACGTCTCCGCTTTTAATCTTTTAGGTCGGGTTGTTCAAAAGACGGTTGACGCTAACTCAAGATTAAAGCATAGTTCATAGAGGGGGATGGTTATGAAACTCAACAAAGTTGTTTGTTGAATATTTTTGTTCTCCTTTTTGACCTTGACCGTACACAAAGCACAACAGTTGTTTACTACTGACTACTGGTTACGTAATTCATACATAGTGCATGAGCGCAAAACAAAAAGATTGTGCACGGTCGCGGACCTTCCAGCGTAAATCTTGAGGTATGCTCCTTTGATGTTTGCAGGGCTTCATAACCATTTCCTCTAATGCTCATTAAAGGTTAATCGAAATAGTATAAAAGTGTTTTTGCACCGCTTATGTCATTTGTGTAGTTTGAGATTCTTCACAGAAAATATATTCAGTATACCTTTTTAGCGACGAAAGAAATTTTACTTTCAGTATCCCAAAATGAGATTATTTGTAATTTTCTTTAATCCAGTTGCATTTTGAACAAAATAAAAACGGTTCACGTCCCTCATTGTCCCTTTTGCTCCAAGGTAGACCAACCAGCCAGCCATTTATTCGTATCGTGTCCCATGGCTAGTTCTTTCTGGTCCGATTTTATTAAATGGTATTAGACTTTTTCTAAAAAGACCCTCAGCCTTTCCAAGAATGAAATTATTTACGGCGTACTTAATAATTGGTCTTCTTGTTCAGCCCTAAACCACCTAATTCTCATTAGTAAGTACTTTCTTCCTTGTAAAGCATTAAATAGCGTCAAATTTCTTTTCGCAGACTTCATAACTGAATTGTACATGACAAAATATGAATTGAATGTTAGTACGTAGCTCTTTATATGTCAAACAAACCCAATACCTTTTTCCAGGAGTGGTTCAATTCTGTTTTCATTAATTCAGTCGCACTTTCCAGTTGTAAGGCTTTTAAACCTTAAAAATAGTGTATAATAGTTTATTCTAATTTTGTGCAGAGTGCTTTAAGTAAACGATACAATGTATTGTAAGTGATCTCTAGGTAAGTGAAATAACATATCGTAAGTATATAAATAATGTATTGTAACCTATAGGCAATGTCATGTATTGTTAGTGATGTATGTAAGTAAGTGATATCGTGTATTGTAAGTATTATAAATGTAACATACTGTAAGTAATGTGAATATAGTAATATGGCGTATTGTAAGTAGGTAATGTAATATAACGTATTGTAAATGGCGTATACACCTTATTCCAAAATGGCCGCAATTTTAGTAGTCTTTTGTTTACTTGCAAATTAGCCCTTGATGCCTAGTTTAAGGGAAAATATTCTATTGAATTTCGAGTTTAAGAACGAGGCAACAAGGGCTAATTTGCAAGTAAACAAAAGAATACTAAAATGGCGGCCATTTTGGAATAAGGTGTGTTGTGAATAGATTTACGTACAGTGTTGTTAGAAGCAAGCATTGCATTGTAAATAGTGTATTTTAGATGTAATATAACATATACAATGTAACTAAAAAAAGAACAAAATCAGTTCATTTTATTGGTGGTAGGTTGTCATTCATGAATGAGGGAATATGTCATTGCGCTAAGACCTTCAGTTGAAAATTAATAGTACTGAGATATCGTACACTTTGTCCAACTTATAATACCAGCTCATGCTCCTACAAGCAAAACCAATCTTGGAAATGAGAAATCCAATAAGACGATGTTTTGTCCACTTCAGAGCTGTTTTTGCCCCCAAAGCCTGTGATGCGCGTAAAATAATCGGTGAATTTTCTCCTTCTCTCAAGCCCTGAAGTTATACAACTGAAGTTATCGTAGTTTATTATGAACTTTCACATTACCTTAAATTCGAAGAGCGCAGTTTAAGGTAGTTACAAAGCTTTTGTCTTAGATTATTTTTACAGCTCAAAATGATAATTTTCAGAGTGTACATTCGTTGTAAAATTCACTGAGTAATTCGACAGCTTGACTAGTCAAACACGCTTCATTTTAATCAAGCTAGGGTCACGTTCCTCGCTTTCTGTCGTTCTTTTCAAGTTTACAGTTCTTGTTGGAGTCCTGGCCATTGGCCCTCTGTTGGCACAATGGGACACTGCAAGAGTCGCACCAAACACACCGATCATCAAGAAGGTAGCAACTGCTATTGATTCCACTATGAGCATAGTGCTGTGCTACTCCCAGCCGGCCGGAGGTCAGAAAACTGCTAGGAAAAAAGGAGATTTTCAAACGTCTGCCTTCCTAATAAATCATTATAGCATTGCATAAGGTCACAGTTAGAGAGACAATCAGCTTGATCAGGTAACTGCATTGCAATGAAGCTGATTACTAAGCAACCAGAAAGCAGATAATCAAGTGACACATTCCTATTGGTCGATAATGTATCACGTGACACATTGAAATCTCTTATTTTTCCCTGGAGCAACAAAACCGTACAATCACCGTACAACTCCCTACGCAGGTGTCGATACCTTGAGCTCGAGCTCTCACAAGGAAATTAATAGACTCTTAAACCACAACGACAACGGCAACGTCACCAAACAAAAGATTTATTGAGCAAGGACAACGCTCAGTAAAAAAGGAAATTATATTTACCTTCGAATTTTGCAATTGCCTAGATCTGTTCAGTGCTCCTATCGGTCTCAGAACTTGCTCAAACTAAATATATAACGCCAGCGTTCAATTCCACATAAAAATACGAAAAATTAGCCGCCGTCGCTCGCGTTCTTCAAAATACGCAGAACGTAGTCATTTCACGTTGTTGTGCAGAGGACGACAAAGAAATGTACGAAGATTTATAACACACGTGCACAGCTATTTTTCTCCTCATTAAACCTTTTGTTTGGTGACGTCCTCGTTGCCGTTGCAGGTTTGCTTAAGTTCTCTATTATCTTTGTATATTTCTTTGCCGTTCTCTGCAAAACAATAACGTGGAATTTTCTTTTGAAGTTGATCGCTGGCGTTACATATTTACTTTGAGCAAGTTTTTAGACTGATCGGCGGGGCTGAACGAATCTAGATAATTGCAAAATTCAAAGACAATTTGTAAATTTATAAAGATTTCGCGCGAGTTCAAAGGGCGTCCATCTGCATGGGTAGGAAGAGAGCGAGAGCCTCCGTCCTAAGTAACGCGATATAATCCTCGTGCCAACCGAAATAACTTTGGAAAAGCTCGCACTCTTTCTTGAGTAGCCAATAAATGAGCTTCGTTTTTGCCGAGTCTCCTTCGGGCAGCCCTTTTCGTGTCACAAACATTGCGTGATGACCTAAATGACAGCTGCGAAGGAGGTTGGTCATTTATCTATTATTAGCCCGCGTGATCCAATGGTCATCCGTCTTCCAGGTGGGCAATACAAGGGCGCCCGTTTTACCTCAAGGGGTATGGTGGTTGGGGGTGGGTACGGAAAAAAGTAGGCTACGCGCACAGCGCCTGAAAATCGACCAAGCGTGATGTGCAGCATGGTCAGTATGCGATTAAATAATCTAAATTTTCATGTGTCTATTTACACTGTCTTCGACTTTGTATTCAGCAGTATATTTTTACGTATTCAGCTGTCATATGGTTCCTCAATTCTGACGAGTCGAGGATGAAATTGTATTGCTACAAACTTAAAGGGGAACTACCACGGGGATTTTAATCCCGCATTTTTCCTCAAAACGGAATGAAATGTATACAAAATGTGCCTAGAATACCGAGCTGAGGGCAGCAGACTGTTTTTGTCGATGCCAAGGCATAAGGACAGATTAATCTAGATCTGCACGCTCAATTATTCAAGGCAGCCGCTTCATTTCTAATTGATGCCGTCTATTCTTCTGACGTGTAATTATGTAAGCGGACATTGATAAATTAGAACAGCGATATTTTTGCTCTAGATTATCGAATATACTACCTGGGTGCCCGAAATTTTACTTTTCTTTCTCGCCGGGAGCAGTGAACCCGCTGAAGCGTTAGATGCGGCGAGCGGAGACGTCGAAACGAGGGATCACTGCCCCCCAAAAACCCTCTGGGATCCAGGGCACGAATATGCCCGTATTGTTCAAGATTAAAGATGGCGCTTTTTGAACATTTTGCTGTGGATGTGCACATACGTGGCGCATACATGTAAGCATCTCAACTACTTACTCCGTTTTCCAGCCTACGCAGCAAGTGGTCTTGAATAATTTCTCGTTGAACGTAAGAGTGTCTCGTTCTCAGAAGAAACTTGTGTTGCAGTTATACGCTTGCTTTTTGTTATGATTATACAGGGCGTTTATTTTGTTTTGAAGCTTCAATCACTTGACTAATTTGAATACATTGGAAAAAATATATCAATACAATTTTTGGTGAACAAATCCGTTTCCTGGGTGACTAATGTACAAGAATTGTATTAATTAAAGACGTGCCAAAGACATGTTAAATGCGAACAAATAAAGAAATTCCTCATTCGTCTTTATGCCGTAAGCTTTTCTTGTTTTTTTCATTGTGGACAAAAATATACCCAAGTTAAACGTTACAATACTAGAGCTCAAAATATGTACATTCGCACATCGATATGCAAAACGTAATTTTGACCCGACGGACAACTGAATCAATTATTATTAATTATAATTGTAGAGTGTAGATACCGCAATTTTTAAGTGTTTAAAATCCAGCCACTTCAAGAATACTACAATACTCCCTGATAGAAACCAAATATAAATGCTCATTGTTTATGAAATTTTCCTTCAACCAATGTTCAAGGCACTGAGAGTTTTTGTTTTTGCCCTTTCCGGTATAGAATCCCTTCCGCACAATGTTATGCCACGGCTTCTTTATCCGTCAATGTCCTTTCGTCTTTGCTAGTATTTTTTCCTCCGTGTTCGCCTTTGCAATGCGTAAAAAGAGTTATTAGCGTTGTGGTACTTGCAGCTAAAAGTACGGCCATAATCACTATTTCAACGACCGTCATGGTACAGCCTAAAATCTGCCTGGTCGTCAGATCTACAATAAGGTAGCAAAGAGCCAAGGTTAGTGACACATATCATTCATTGGTACTCTATTTCGCTCGGAATGACGGGGGCTTGTCCCCGCACCGACTTCAACTGTTCATAACTGACTAATCATTGTTCTCTGAACTTGATGTTTCCATGGCAACCATACTTAGACAACCAAGTTTTTCCAATTTGGAGTTTAGTTTTTCTGTCGCTTTGAAACAAAAAACACTAACCAATAACAATCACAACAAATCGAAGATAGCGGAACCAAAATGGCGTCGTTTGAATAATATAAAGTTAGGGAGGGGGTAAGGGGGGGTTGGGGGTGGCGGAACCACCCCTTTCCCCAACCAAATGAAAATTAAAAAGGCGGACGGATTTCATTTTCGCGTTATTCTGAGTACGTTGACGGGCGAGCTTACGTGCCTAAACAAAAATAGAGCAGAGGTAAGGACGCCAAACCTATGAGGGAGAAAAATCGCTCTTTGGTCATGTTGGTTGGTTTTCCACTGTTTTGCGCACGTCATCGAGTATGAATTTCAATAAATATTCGTGCATAAATTGTTCACCTTTTACCAATCCATACATCTGCTCAATTTTGTTTTTAACATGCCAGCGAACCTACGAAACCCACATCTGTTGACGCGCGTAAATAACGCGGAATCCGGCTTAACTGCTTTTACCAGGTCTATCGCGCTAACTACAAACTGTTAGATCTCTACTGAGCGTCACAGAGGCGCCAGTACATCTATATTTAACTGATGATTCTTGTGGCTAAGGGAATGAATTTATGTTTTTTTAATTTTCTTCAATATTCTTATTGCGTTTGTCTCGGCTCCCGAGGATGACAGCCCTCTGTGACAGCAAATATGAAAAACATTTTTACTTACCGTATTTTCTGACCAAGTTACTGCTTTCGAGGTTCTTAGTATTAATTACACTTGCCAGGTGCTGGAACGAAAACAACACGCGCCGTCAATTTGATAAGTTACTTATAACTGTCGTGTTGTTGGCATGAAAAACAGCTAAGAATCTGGGATCGAGTCTCAAGACTCCACGCAATATTTAAGTCCTATATATTAAATCAGGCTATAATTTATTGAATTCTGAAAGCGAACCAATAGTTTAAAAGTGTTTTATTCACCCTGAGACTATTGTTTCCTATTCAAACATAGCGGATTCTGTGTACAAGATTCTGTTTGATCGCAAGAGTTATTTACTATCAAACATATCTTAGCTGTAAAAATAATGACTGCATCCCGGCGGGATGATTCTCAAAAGATTCAAACTACGATGGTTAATTTTCGTGTGAAAAGCCAAGATATGAATAAAAAGAAATAAAGAACAAGTGCCGATTGTTTTGAGGCTGTCGGTGGTTTCCATAGTAAGGTCATTTCTTACGAACACCTTCAGAAATATGTGGTCCATGTTAGTCACACGCTTTAAACAACTTTCAAAAATTTTCTTGTCTTCCTATCATTTCTTGGGAGAAAAAAAAAACTGAAATAATTTCATCTAAATGTCAAAGCCTGCAAGCTTTTTGAAAATTACACACATCTTGATCGTTGTATCTGGTGGTATGTGTAACTGTACTTTGAAGACAGCGAACTCCGCTACGTCTCAAGACTGTTGATTTTTCATTTTGTCACATACCTTGTACTCACACCTGTAGGATATGCTCTTTATAAGAGCAGAATATGGGGCGCTCTTTGTAAACTTATGCTCATTGGTATCTGTTCATAAAAACTTCCATGTGGCAAGCGCTGAACGTTGAACAAGAGAAATATTTCGATACTTGCATATTTAATGTTATGTGCGAGGTGCAAACATCACAGCTTTTGAACGCTAGCATCCTTTGTACCTGGCGTCAATCCCTTTCGTTCATGCTCGACACGACAATAAAATGTTTGCACGCTATTTTCAGGCGAAGATAAACCGATCGCATTATGTAACTCGTTTGTTCCTAGTTGCGCACTTAAAAGTCCCTGGGGGTATTGATTCAAGTGATATTACTACTCACACGCTCAACGATCACGATCGAAACTTCACCTTCTTGCTATTAGGACAGAGGTGAAAACCTGTTCTCTTAAAGGGTATCGAGCCATTCTTGTGAGACCTTGTCAGAGCTGCTACCCAACTCAAGGACAGTCTTCTGTTGGTACTAATTATTCCATTTTCCCGCGGTCGTCCACATTTTTTCTAGCGCCCCCACCCCCACATTAAATCTTAGCATTGTGCTCTAAACATAGATGGGGAAGAAAAAAAATATTAACACTGTATATTGGATACGGGAAGGTGGAGGTTAAGGAGAAGATCATTTGAAGGCAAAAGTGTGAAGTGTTCTAGGATACGTGGTTTGTCATATTGCCACATACCTGGTGCTCACGCCTGAAGGAAATGCTCTTCATAAGAGCAGAATATTTAAGACCGTAACTACACTCAAATAAGTGCTAGTGACTGAATTATCGCAAACGACGCGCGCGAGCCTGGTCAGCATTCAGGGCTCTCCCCAGTCTTACTAAAAACTTTGACGCTCATTCCAAATCGACATTAAGGAACGGGGCGTTTACGGGGGAACGAACAACGAACAAACGCTATATTAAGGTGGTTCGGTAGTTTTTTTTCCAACCATACCAACCATTTTCAATCAGCTTTTTAACCGTCTTCACTTTATCAGATCAATATGACAATTACACCAGTAATTGGAAATGGATTGAAGTTTGGGGCACAATGTGTTTTTTTAAGGCAATCGATTTCCGTGGAAACGATAAACCAAGAAATTAAAAATCGGTAAAACACGAATTTTGCGCGAACTAAATGTGATATGGAAAAGCTAACACCAGTGCCTTAAACTCTGGTATATGGCAAGTAGAATATACAAGAATAAAAAAGTTTCTTAAAGTTTTGAATCCATGAAAAATTAACTGCAGGTTTATATATTATGAATGTAAAAAGGATAATTTGAAAATTTTTTGCAATTTATTCGAGATCAAACATAGATATTTTTATTCTTGAATATTCTACTTGCAATTGACAATAGTTTAAGGCAGAGGTAGTAGCTTTAAACGTATAACATCTGGTTCGCGCAAAATTCGTTTTACCGATTTTCAATTTTCTTATCGTTTCCATAGAAACATCGATTGCCTCCAGAAATATATTGCACCAAACTTCAATCCATTTCTAACTACTGGTGTAATTTTCATATCGATCTGATTAAGGAAGACTGTTAAAAGCTGATTGAAAATACTTGGAATAGTCCAAAAAAAAAAAGTGTATCGAGACATTTCAACTGATGTATTTTGAGGTCAAAGATCCAACGAGAACTCAAACAAGGTGACAGCCTCTTCCAAGCTCCTCTTAGACCTAAATAGATTGATAATACTGATTTATTCACTAGGCAATAACGAAGCGCGCGAAGTTTAAAAATAGAATGCAAATTATTGGAACCCCACGAGAGTCAGACATTGGCGTTTTCCGAGAGAAACAGGAGGAAAATGAACGCCAAATTTTCATTTTAAAAATCGTTTTAGGAACACTTGCTTAAGGGCTTGAAAAAGCGTCAAATCTTCCACCATTCCGTTTTGTTTGTCTGAGTTATGACGTCAGTCGCGCGCTTCGCTATTCTCTTTGCTCAGTGATGATCGTTAACAACGAACTAAGTTCCAACGCTAGGCTCATATGGGTTACGACAACAACTTCCTAGTTTCGGTGAAATCTAGCATAATCTAGATTTCCAGTCCGTACTGCGCAGCTCTCGCGTTGGTTTACGTTTTCTGTTTTGATTCATGTAAGACGTCACAAAATGTAACATTTCGCAACTACTTACAAGAAATGAATTGCGAGTTTGTCACCTCCATCACGGATGCCAAGCTTTATACAGCTTCGCTCTTTCCGGCATCACAAGATGAAACAACTTCGTAGCCGTAAAAATCAAAGAAGCTGTTGGAAAAATTTTAAAATGCCTCAAAGATAAGGCAAGCGGTTCGTAACGAATAACATCGATTTGCATCCCATCGAGTGAGACTCGCAAACATTGAGGTGATGAGACAGTCTGGAAATCATCTTTAACAAGCAGACTTTTCCAACCTTCGTGTTGTTATGAAGTGGGTATTTTTCCATCATTGCAGCTTTGAAAATTTGTTTATGATAAGATTTAGCTTGCATTTTTAAAGTAAAGATTGGTAGTGAAATTAACTAGTGCATAAGGGCTATAGCATGTTTTCACTCACGTGGCCAGCAGCAACGCAAACTTATTGGAACTAAAGATAGTGTAACTTAAGTAAAGAGCTCAACCCCCACACGATTGGCTTGGGGCACCAACGAGGTCGCCGTTTGATATTTTTTTGGGAAATAAATATGGCTGCCGTGACGTCATGTAAAACACTTTACTGCTTCTATAGCGATGATTTTGGTAGTCAACTAAATTCGAGGAGTAAATAATTCGTTATCTGGTTCTCCCTTCCATACAAAATTAATTTCACTACAATTCTTAACTTTACAATGACACTGACTCACTGTGGATAGAGGAATCATACGCACAACAGCCACAGTGAAGTATAAATTGGTGATAGTACCAGCTTTGCATCTGATTGGCTGACACGATGAAGCGACATTCTGATTGGTTACACGAGACAATCACGTGAAAATTAATGACCCGCACAAGGTTACTGTTTGCACCTGTGAAAGCTACAGAAACTACCTTCCTTTAAAATTCCACAGCAACTCTAACGTTTGCAAATCGCAAGCAAAAATGTTGCCCCTGCTTCGAAACTTGGCCTTGGAAACATCTTCGCGAGGTTCTTCTTTGGGCTTTTTGATGGTTTTAGAATTCCCTTCTGTTTCTGTATGTACATCGTTCCCTTCCGAAGTGTTACCATTTAATTGACTGGCGCGGTGGGCACTTTTACCCATACACTTCCCTGCGCTGCGGACAGCTGGTTTCGCCGAGGCGCTGGAGCTGCGCTCGTTCACTGAACCTTTGGCACTGGCGTTTTTCTTATTTTTCTGCCTCGGGCTCTTACTATTTGATTGTGGAAGAGTTCTAGGAACCCTGCGGTCATTGGTGATTTTCACTGAGGAACGCAAATCGTCCGCATTATTGATTTCTACAGTCTGCTCAGGCGCAATTCGTCTCGCCGAGTGACTACTCTCTTCACGTGTCACCTGACTCTCCTCAACACCTTGATCACGTGCGACAGAACGTGATTTTTCTAGTTTGCGCGTGTCTTGTGTCGAGCCACTGAAGCAGTCTTGCTTGTTAATTCCCTTGTCGTGTGCACCGCGCGCATTTAGGCTGCTGCATGTAGATTTTTGCTGTTCTAAAACACTGATGCTTTCTTCTTCGCTACTAATATTCCCATAGTCATTTGATACTTCGCAAAAACTGTCCATTTCTATAGCGTCTTGCTCGTCGGACAATGCCCCATCGTTACTGTTAGTTTTCTCATCACTCCCGCAAGCGAGGAGTAAATTACCACCGCTTTCGCCTCTCTCATTGGAATTTAAATCTTCCCTTGGAAAGCTTACCCCTTGTTCTTTGGAGCTTATCGACTCGGATTTTCTTTCTTCACTTAAATCGCCCGGATTGTTGATCTCGACACATTCGTCTTCCATATTAACATCTGCAGTTTGAAGACCTGTCTCAAGATCAGAGCCATCAAGTGCGTTTCCTTCTTCCTCAATGATAACTTGAAGTACATCGTCCATACCTGGGAAGCCTGTGCTTCCCAGGGCATCCACGCCCTCATGGATGTCACCATTGTTACTAAAACCTATCAAACCTGTAGCCGGTGGATCAGGTTGTAAAACTGAAACTATTTCCTCTGACTCGGAGTTAAGTTCCTCAACAATAAGCCCATCATCTGCCGCAGTATCAATGTTTTTCTTCATTCCTTTCCCCTTCCTTTTCTTGGTTCCTTGACTTCTCGTTACACTCACTTTTGCTTTTTTGATCGAGCTTGAGACTTCAGCCAGCAAAGAGAGAAGCATATCGTCCTCAAACGAATCACTACCTGAGACAGCAGTCAGTGCAGTAGAAACCATCTCCGCGTTAATTCGTTGAGGTGAGTTTGTAGAACTGTTTTCTGGTGGTTCAATGGAGGACCGTTTGTCTTTTGGGCCGTCCTCAGTCATTAAAGAATCGTCGGTTCCAATGAAATTGTATCTGCGGTTTTCACAACTTTTTTCAGGTTCAAGATCACGTTCCGTATGAGACTCAACTCCAGAATGTTCCAAAACGGCCGGCTCCCAGTCCATATCATCTCTATCTTCATCCGAAGACGAAAACATCTTGTCATCTGTTAATGCTTCTTCGTGCTTTTCTTGAAAGTTGGTTGACGCTAGAGTTGAGGTAATTTCGTCATGGATACCTTCCGCTCTGCCTATGCATGAAACGACTGCTGTGGAGTTGTTACGTGAGGTCACCAGGGTTGACGAGCCAGCTAAAGCAACACTCGCTTGTGTTCCTTCTTTGTTTGCAATGGTCGAAACTGGGTCGTCACTTAAAGTCACCAAGGTTGACGAGGCACCTGAAGGAACGTCGGCTTGTGTTTCGTCAGACATGTCTTTGTTTGGAATTGTCGCTACAGAATCGTTACTTGAAGACATCACGGTTGACGAGGAAGCCGAAATAACGCCAGCTTGCATACTTTCATAAGTGTCTTTGGTTGCAATCGTCGATACAGAATCGTTACTTGAAGCCATCAAGATTGACGAAGGAGCTGCAGGAGCAGTAGCATCACCTTCCATATCCTCAGACCTCCCCTGACGTCCAAAGGTTGTTGCAGAGTTGTTACATGACGACACTAAGGATGACGAGCATGTACCAGCAATAACGTCAATCTGCATTCCATAACCGTCCTGATTTGCACTGGTCGTTCCTGAGTCTTTACTAGAGGACATTAAGTTCGTCGATTCAGTAACGCTTTGCGGAGTACAGCTTGTACAACAGTCACCTGCTGGAGGCGTGCCATCGTGGGTGTCAACTGAGTTCATCTCAGAGGCGTCTTTAACAGTGTCGGTTTCATTCCTTTGCGGCTGGTTTGGTGTCTTTCGTCTTCTAGACGCTGTTTCTGTGCAGTGGCTGTCCGAGCTTTCGGAGGGGGAAGAGCGATATCCACTGAGCTTTTTAGCTATACACAAAGGTTTCTTCTTCTTCTTTTTCTAGCGGAGAAAAACAAATTAAAGAAAATAAAAGAGAGAACAGATATGCTGCGCAGAATCGAACAGGGGAAGACGCGGTAACTTAATGGCTCGTGTGCTAGACTCGAATCACCTTCATAAAACTTTCAGAGATAATAGGAAACCTCCCGGAATCTTTGAGCAGTCACCATGTATAATGGTAGCCAGTCAGCGTTCTCACCACCTACCTTTTGCAGTGAATTTTCTTCGGGAGACGGTGTTGGCTTTATTCTCCTTTGCGAATGAAGCACCAGGTGCTGTCTGAGAGAAACCTGAAGGTAAATATAAATATAGTAAGTAATGTACTTGTAATTCAACTGAAGACAAATCAGACACAACATGGGGGAAGGAAGACATGACTGATCATCGCAGTTATACTCCCAACTGAAGCAGCTGTGAAATTAAAGCCCGAAATTAAAGCCCATGACCTCGATACCGGTACAGTGCTCTACCAACTGAGCTAACAAGCCAACTGGGAGCTGGTCATATTGTGAGTTCGTGTTATACCCGTACATGGTGAAGAATATATTAAGCACTTCATTTTCTGATCCGGTTACTGTGCAAAAATATCAGTTCTGAAAATTTTGAAAGGGCACAGCACGGTAACTGTCCCAAGGAATTTAAGAACGACTTACTACTGACTTTTTGCTTTTTGTTCTCCTGGGACCATTAATTAAGTGAATATTGTTTTTAACTACATGTACATAGCAATCAAAATTACATCAAATTCTGCAAGGTCACTGTACATAGTGGTTGAAGCAGCATACCTTATGGGCGAATCCTTTTCCACACCCCTCCCAAGTGCATACATACGGCCTGTTACCTTCATGGAAGGCTTTGATGTGCACTCTCAGATTAAACGCCTGAAAGAGAGTAACAGTAATGGATGACTTGACAATTGCTCATCATATCGCTCATGGAAAACAATTATTATCTAATACGTCGAATTATAATCCGTCAAATATTTTTACTCTCGCGCGATTTGGCTAAGTATGTCATGTGACTAAATATAAACTAGCTAAAACTGGGGAATATCCAAGTGATATTCCCAAGTTTCAAAACTGCACGTGTTGCGAAAAATATTTGAAGGATAATAAACACGACAGCCTCCATTTAGCCCGAAAATATGCTCGGATATTTGTCCTTGAACATAATCTGTTCCTCAAAGCGCACAGTTTTCCTCGAGCTACGCCCTCGGAAAGCTGTTCGCTTCTCAGAACAGATAAAGTCCGCGGACAAACATCCAAGCATATTCTCGCGCCAAATAGAGGCTATTGTTTAATTATTCTTGAATTTTGATCGTTATTTCATAACTTACTTTAGTGTAAACTCGGGAGCATCCTTCTCTGGGGCATTCATACATTTTCCGATTGCTATTGTGGACAGCGGCATGCCTCCTTAACTACGAAAAAAAGATCAAACAATCAGTTATAAACCATATGTACAGTACACGGCTAATCTATTCTACATTTTCATGGCTTTGCTATATTTACCTGGACAAGATGAACATGAAATCTCCGACAACCTAATGGGAATACTGACTAAAATGGCATATTTTCAACAGACAGGCACTGCATTACACTGTTTGTAACTTTTGCTTTTTTCTAAACACTGAAGAAGCAAATCTCTGCATTAAAACAGTCCACAATAAGCCAACCAACCAACCAAACAAAAACAAACAAGCAAACAAATAAACACTCTCAACACCTAAATTATCAACTTAGGATACGTGTTTTAATTATTTTTATTTATTTTTTGATTTGTCACACAACAAAAATAGAATTACAGTACAATGATTACTAAATTACAAAAATTAATATACAAGATTACGATGAAGATACAAAAATACAATTTATATCTTAAAGGATAGAAAACAAAATGGCGTGGGAACCTAATAAAAACCGCGGCACTTGTACGCTTAGGTTCCCTCCCAAGAAACACCAGGGCCGGGTTGTTCAAAGCACGATTAAGCTAATCCAGGATTAGCGTAAACTTTTATTTCAATTTTGCAACTTTTCAGTGAAGTTTTCTGTTCAAATTTTTTGTCCCTCAATTTTGGCTTTGACTAATGTCAAACTCCAGGAAACATGGACAGTGAAAACACTTTTATTCAAGAGAAATTAGAACTCTGATTAACTTTTAATCCTGGATTAGAGTTAATCAGCTTTCGAACAACCGGGCCCAGATGACTAATTTGGATAAAGTAATTAATGACAAGTCTTATTTAATGACAGAGTTAATAGTTATCGATTAACTCTGTCACTGATTACCTATTGTAAATTACTTAATTTAATTGCACACTTTAAATCTATCTGCGTCACTTACTGTCACAACGTACATTACATATCTTACCTCCCAGACTTGTGAAAACTTCCTGTTACAATGCTCACACACATAACCTGTAAAACAATTAACAAAACTTTGTTGTACATGCCTGGAATATATCGGATCTAAGACAACATCCCCACAGCTTCACCCTCGCAACTCCTTCTAATTTGTCAGCTTCTTTTTTGGTATGAAAGTTCCCCACAAGGTCCCAAACAAATCAAACAACTTTACAGCAGATACTGTAAGTTAGCTATGATATTTTACACACTTTGAAATATATATCCTTCAAAATATTATGTATTACCAAACACTACTACATAGGGCTAATACTTGAACCTGCAATAATATTTTTTAATTACTATTTTGAAAGGTTGTAGGTTCAACTAACAATATACGTAGTTTGTGTTGTAAATGACATACTTTGAGTTCATGTTGTTCATGGTTTGCAAATAGATTTACACTTTGGTTACACCAATCAGGCTGCTTTCAAATTTCTTCAGTTTTTGAAAGTAAATGTACATCTTTACAGCATCACTTCTTCTCAAAACAAATTTTCTTTCGCTGAGATCTGAATGCTTCATTAGCGCAACCAGTATGACTAACTTAGCCTGATATGCTGAAGGGAATTTACTCTATTGGGAAGAAAAACACCTTACCATGACTTCTGACATGTACAGCAAGCTTAGAAAATTTGTCAAAGGCCGCAGAACATCCAGGTGTACTGCAGACATAACCTGACAAAATGGACAACAACTTGAACAGAAATGTACATATTAAACATCAGGGGTTTCATTAAGGCTTTCAGCAGGAGGGTAACTGGTTTTCACACGCGGGTAAAACTATTAGAACTGAACATCTTTGTAAGAAAAACTTTCCTTTAGATGGTCAAACCAGGTAAAGTCTGCATACGAGCCAAGTGGCCCACCAGGCCAGAGCTTATCCCGGTTTCTGTAGCATGAAGCGACTAGGAGTATTTCTACTCCCCCCTGGATGGGATGCTAGTCCATCGCAGGGTTACCCCCAGCATTAAGTTTGCCGGAACCCATTTATACACCTGGGTAAAGAGAGGCACTGTGAGAGTAAAGTGTCTTGCCCAAGAGCACAACACAACATCCCCGGCCAGGGCTCGAACCTGGACCGCTCGATCCGGAGACAAGCGCACTAACCATGAGGCCACCATGCCTCCCACAGATGGTCAAACCAGCTGGGCAAAATTGCCCTCACAGCTGATCAATAAATTTGCCTGATGCCCAGCCTTTTATGAAACCCCTGAAACATTATCTGAACATATGAACATTTTTTGACAACTTCAGTCAGTTAGATTCATAGGACAGAGCGAATGACTTGCCGCTCCCCTCCCCCCCACCTCACACTCCTTGCTGCCCATTTGATAAGTGTAAATGATGCAGAATGCTATATGTTTAGTATCTACACTATACAACTTATTGCATGATAGTAACTTAAAGGGACACAGTCAGTTAGTGCACATGCGCATTAGATACTATTTCATAGCTAATTTGCATATCACAGAGAAGCGATCCCTACTGTTTTTAACCAACGCTGTGAATTTCTAGATGTACTCAACGTGTATCTTTGATTTCAGGTTGACGTGAACTCTTTTCAAAGTGAGAAACAATGTGGTCCCAAAGCTGACTGTGTCTCTTTAGTAATGACCTACATACATGTACACATTTCTACACACCTTTGTTATGTCTCCTCACGTGTCTTAGTAATTTTGCCGAGCTATTAAAGCTAGCATCACAACCTTCCGCCTGGCACCTTAAAAAATCAACATAAAGTAGTTTGCACTTAAAACTTCAAAGGATCAAGTAATGTTATTCACAAATTACTATCCAATGGATAAGTGTTGGAAAACAAACACATATCAGCCAGTATCACCCAGTGGATAGTTAGTTTTACACCCTCTGAACAACTGGGGCCAGGCTGGTCTTACTCAACACTTTCACAGTACATGTAGCCAATTCCACTCCTGGGCAGAGGGAGAAGAAAAGAGTCTCACCTGAGTGGGTGTACACGCATGACAAAGATTCTTATTCCTTGCTTTGGAGGGGAACACACTTACCCTAAGCTACCATGATAGCTCCCTGGGGACTCAGTGAATGAATGTCAAGTTTTTCTTTTGAAGCTCATCAATTGACCCAGGTAAAGGTAAAGTCTGCATATGAGCCAAGTGGCCCACCAGGCCGGAGCTTATCCTGTAGCATGAAGCGACTAGGAGTATTTCTACTCCCCCCCGGATGGGATGCTAGTCCATTGCAGGGTTACCCCCAGCATTAAGTTTGCCGGTACCCATTTATACACCTGGGTGGAGAGAGGCACTGTGAGAGTAAAGTGTCTTGCCCAAGAACACAACACAATGTCCCCGGCGAGGGCTAGAACCTGGACGCTCGATCCGAAGATGAGCGCACTAACCATGAAGCCACCGCGCCTCCCAATTGACTCAGAAGGTACAGAAAAACTTGTGCAAGGTAAAATTTAGACTGGAACTTTTTTTCTAAATGAATTAAAATGTTACTTAAAATTGATTACTCTGATTACTTAAGGTTAAGCTGCAGACTGAGTGTAAATAACTGGATGCTGAATGCTTATGAAAGGCTCAAAAGAAACTTGAATTCCAGCTTGCCCTTTGGACAAGGAGCTCTCAAAGTTTGCTTTCCTTGGAGCAAGAATTATTGCATTATCTACTTGGCAGATAACTTGTGTGGGGGCAAGAGAGAAAAAAAAGGTTACTTTCCCAGCAGGAAGATCTACTCTCAGGGCTCGACACTAACAGTAGCCAACTAGCCACAGACTAGTAGAAATTTAGTTTNTATACACCTGGGTGGAGAGAGGCACTGTGAGAGTAAAGTGTCTTGCCCCAGAACACAACACAATGTCCCCAGCCAGGGCTAGAGCCCGGAACGCTCGATCTGGAGACGAGCGCACTAACCATGAGGCCACCGCGGCCTCAGGTTAAGGGGAATTAATATTTCAAGTTTAGAACTAACAGGGTAACCTGCAAAAACAGACGGATTTTTGGCTTGTTTTGCAGCAGGAAATGCATCTGTGTTCACAGGCTACAAACAGGGGTAACACTCTCACCCTTAAAATAGCAGACTTGGATGTTGCAATCTCAGACAGAGCACACAAGTCAAAGATGACTATGCTCTCTAACTCATGAGCACTTCGCCATTGCACCAGGTTACTGACAGAGCTGTTCTTTTCAACAGTCACAGTTACACCTTGGATGTCTCCGTCTAGATCATCTGTAGTTTCTTCCTTGTTATTGTTGCTTAGTTGAAGTTCTGACTTGCTGTCGTTTGCTTCAAAGGCTTGCAATGTTTTTCGCAAAAGGCTGAAGCTGTCAATCAGTTCTGTTACCGTAAGCCTGCAAAATGGATGAGATGGATTTTGAAACCTAGGATATTGGCATTCCTAGAAGTCAGAGAAGAGTACTAGAAAACAGAGAACAATAGAGTCTCAACTTAGTACATGTTGAGGATTTGAAACAAGTAGTTACACTGTAATACATCTACATTTAGAATATTCTCCGAGTCTCATATTTCAAAGTGAATTATATCATTCTATGGCAATCAGGAAGAAACTACAGCATATTTTACTTGTAGGCAGTCTCTAGAAGTGGAACATCATGGATGCCCAAGAAACCTTGATAGATCTTCATCACTGATGATAGCACCTGCAAGGATGAACGAATAGGTATATTGTAATTATATACAAACCACATTATGTGTACAAGGTGAGCACTCCATTAAAACTGTGGATTATAAATCTTGAGTACCGGTACCAAGAGTGACTAGTTTAGTTTCACTTTAAAGTGGCAATAATCCAGCTGCAAATAACATCTCGATGCACCACATAATTCTCAAAAAATTATGAAATGTATGACAAAAAAGTATGGAGATTGGTAACTACAACAGGATAGTGGGACTGTACCCGGTAATCACAGTTCAACAACTTACTTGGTTCTGAAAATCAGGTTTGTTTTCTCTTATCCATGCTCATACATATTGACATACAAAGATCAGGCAATATCATTACTGGTCAAGTACAGCTTCTACAAGGTTTGTTTGTTAACTGGTTTGTTTTGTACTCCAAAATGTTGACTTTATAATTCCGAAATTTAGCAATAATTCATCAACTTTGGACCTACATATCAAAAACTTGAGACAGTGTTTCATTACATTTCCAGACTCTTTTCATTTGGCAAGCAACACTCAGCTGCAATTGATTATTTCATTATTCTGCAATGAAGCCCCTATCTTGAGTGCTTGATGCACTGTAATTACAGGTACTTACAGATAACTTGCCATTTTGCTGCAAGTTAACATATCATACTACATAATATTACTGGTAACTTTAAAAATCAAAATTATCTATTTAGTGCAAGTTTGGGGGAAGTTATGAGCTTTCTAAATCTCAAATAAATGTAGTATAGAATGGGACAGTTCTTACTGCTTGGTCTGACGATAGGCGCAACTTAATTACGGGAGAGCCAGGTCCTAGGAGTTGTTCGATGAAGGTCGCTGGTATAGCAGTATTCACATGAGCTATGACCTGCAAGTGAGAATGGACACAGTCGTCAAAGAGCTAAACTACACAGAGAGAAAATAATGGTTGGGTTAGTGGTACCAATTCCCGGGCCCCTGGGTAAAAAAACTTCACTTGCGAACCACAACATCTGTGAGGGGAGTCACTAGTAAGTGTTATGGCTATGTGAAAATTGTAAGTGCCATAGCTCAAAATAATAAAGGTCTGTTGGTTATGTGCTATGGATCCTGTTATGCTGTATTTAACAAATAAAGAAGCCCAAGCTGTATATTACACTGTGATAAAACACCACCACATTTGAGAACACAAGGGAAATGTAAGGAGTCAATGAAAGACATCACTACTGCATGAACTGTTTCTTCAAAGGATGAATTAACAGTTCAGAGAACAAAAATTACCTTTTGTATGAGCTGAAGAGCTGACATTATGTGAGGATAGGTGACACATGAACTGCTCTGAAGTTGTTGAATCACGAATGAAGCTGTTATTTCACAGCAACAAGAGAAGTAAGGCTGCAGCCATGAACACATGGACTCTAAACACTCATTTGCTGAAATATATTACCAAAGAGCAATATTAGGTACAAGTCTTGCTAGATGTCATTTGTGAAATAGTGAGATTCCAGCAACATCTCTTTCAACTCTTGTACTTTATAAAGAAAATTGTTTGGTTTAACTGCTGGGAAGAGATACAGTACATTGTACATGTCTCTGAGGGTCATTTGCAATTGATGCAAAAACTAAAGATGATCAACAGTCTGACTTAGAGTCTCACTGCTCATAATCATGACTGTTCTGCAATTATGTTTAAAATGAACCCCTTTTTCAGGCATCCTCAGCTCCTTGCTTGAAAAAAAAATTAAGTTTTTTGAACCAAATGAATGACTAAATTCACAATCTATCGATCAGACTGCAAATAAACCACCTTGAAACAAGGTGTGACCATCCAAACCTTGTGCAAAATAATATTAACTGTTGTACATGTAAATAAACAAAATATGACAATAACATTGTCTAGAGAAGCCACAACTGCAGGATAAACAAAGCGTACCTGACACAAACAGTTTTTCATAGTAATAGGAGTACCCAGACATGTTGATGCACTGAATAATTCTTTGAATCAGCTGGAACAAAAAACATACTTGGGAATCACATCTTTCTATCAACAAAATTATGATTTCTGTCAATTATACCTGTCACTATAGGAATGCATCTCAATACTAAACCCAGCAATTTCATTAGAAGCCGGGTACTGCCGGAGCTCTGGCAGCTGTGAGTCATCAAGTCACTGGCTACTTGGCTGTGTTTGTTGACAAAATCATCAAAAATGTAACTCTTATAATATTTACAGCCTACCCATTTCTCAGTTCAAATAAACTGAAAATAAAAGTATTTCTTACATTCGCCTCGACTGTTCGTGTATATAAAAGTGTACACATCGATCAAATACGATTGAAATGCAAAACATTCAGCCATTTTCACTGGTCGGTTGAGCAAAGCGTGCTCCCGCACAGTCTGGACAGACAACGTACTGGAACAGGTATTTGCATAAATTTATTTGATTTCGGAATTGTTCTTTCATAAACCCATTGTGTTCTTCTTTGCTTACGGACAAATATTAATTGAAGAAGCTAGTCATAAAAGAGGATAAGTGACGATTTTGGTTGCTTTTCTTTTTTCTTGCTCCAAATTAGCTGAATTTTTGCATGTGGT